TGGCCCCCCTGTGCCCCACCCCCCCCCCCCCCCCCCCCCCCAACTGTAGCCATCTGGGATTCATGGCACACATCCTGGAAGGCTACAGGACCAGTCTCCCTTCGATTTGGTGCAGTAGGAAGCTGGCTGTGGGTTATCATGAAGTCACAACTGGAGTCCAAGATGGTAGTGCAGGAACCTAACGAGCTGTGAAAGCTTTGGGTTCTCAGAAGACAGAGCAGTACACAAGTTATTGGGCTAGGGTTTAGTTATCCTCATATTGTTATGGAAGGTGTGAGCATTACCCACTCTGAAAAACTGAAATATGCTTTATGGACTATTGCTAAAGTGCATCCAGCATCCAATACAGAACCTAGTTGCTACCTCAGTGCTAACCTTGAAGATGAGAGTTGTTCAAGGGCCCTCTTTTCTCTCTTGATTGACCTCCACTCGGCAGATAAAGACATAGTTTAGGTGGGTCTGGAAACAGATTTAATTTAGAGTGGACTTGTCATCAGATATACTGTATTGCTTCATGTTAAATGTAGCATGCTCAGTAATATGAGAGATAACATTTCCAGGCATTTATTAACTCTTACAGAGATTACTGTATTCTCCCTGACAATGCCTTAATCTGCAAATTTTATCGACAGGAGGGAGACATCTTTGTTTAGGCATGGTCCAGGGCCACCATCTACTTTCTGGTTCTGTGGTCTGATAACTTGAGATACTGGGTCGGAGATGGCACAATCATTAAATCCTGGTACCTTTGCAGTTTGGCTGTGTTCACAAATGTCTGACACAGATCACTCCCTCACCTTGGCTTACTATGAAGTTAAAACGTTGCAGACTGATCACTGGGGCAAAGGAGACTGAGAAAATGCTTCCTCTTGCTGCAGTGTACAGGGGACTATGCAAAGTAATTGACCGGGCTAATGTACAGCTTTTTAATGATTAAAAAAAAAGCAAAACGTTCCTGAAAAATTATACTGTTGCTGTATATTGTAACATGTTAGTTTAAAGTTACTTAAAAGTTACTAAAGTTACGGAAGGTCCACCTTAAATTCCAATGTTTCTGACAAAGAACTAAGCAATCCCCTCTAAGTTTCCTTTATATAAAGACCATAGTACATGGAAATCTGCAGCTGCATATTAAAAAAGTAAGGTAAATTTTTCAATACAATGAATTGTTATCTAAGAATGTTATGTTGTATGCTTATCTTATCTCTGGTGCTAGAACTACACATTAACATGGGTCAGTAGAAGGGAATCAGCCATCCTAATACTTTAATAACCTTTATCTTTTTGTTTCCAGCCTCAGGGGAGAAGATGTCCCTGAAAGCCGCAACCAGCAACATCACCAACAAAAACGATCCCAAGTCCTTGAATTCTCGAGTCTTTATTGGTAACCTGAACACAGCAGTGGTAAAGAAGAGTGATGTGGAATCCATCTTCTCAAAATACGGCCGGGTGGTGGGATGTTCGGTGCACAAAGGATATGCTTTTGTACAGTATCTGAATGAGAGGCATGCAAGGGGAGCTGTTCTTGGGGAAAATGGACGAGTATTGGCTGGACAGACATTGTGTAAATAGAAAGTTATAAAAAAAAAAAAAAAAGAATACTTTCTGATACAGGTTGATTTTCAAGTAGGCCCTTTAGGGCAGAGCTTCATGGAGGCAGGATCACTACAAGCGGTGCTGACTGGCCTACCCACAAATTGTATCCTTGATTAGCAATCAGTACCTTTCCAACTATAATAACTTCTGGTTAGCTAATGCAACTGGAGTGTTAGTGACACCCATGGCAAAACTTGAATTGGATGCTGCACAATGAGCCCTGATTAAACACTGAGAAAACAATGCCATGTGTTACTTTGCTACAGACAAGAGCAGTGGATGCTGAAAGGTCAAAAAATGATTTTTTTTTAAAAACAAGCTTATTTCAGCTCCCTTCATTCAATGCCTAACCTAGCATTTCAGGGAAAGACCCCTGTACTGCAGGCTCAAAACCTTTCTGATAACTAGAGGTAGGCCAAAGCAAACACCTCTTTAAGTGGACCTTGCATCTACTACAATGCAAATGCAAGGTCCATTTTTTAAGTTCCCCCACCCCTTTCTGAAATGCAAATTAAACATTTAACAACAAAAAAAACACCCGTGGGGGAAGTGAGATAATATATTGTACTTACCTTTCCCCCCCAGCTTCTGTACACAGCACCTAGGTGAGGTGACATCATCCTCTTTCTAGCAAGATTTGGGTAAAGTACTCTAAATCTCACAAAAACACTATCCCAGCACTGTGCTTCAGCATCTTTTCATGAGATTTGTGCTCACCATTCTCATGGATCTCGTTAGCAGAAGAAATATGTTACCCCCTGCACCACAGAAGTCAAAGGAAAGCTGAATGTAATATCTTCCCCTATAGGTGTTATTTTCAATGATTATGCTGGTTTTTAGCAAGGGGGAGGCGGGAGCACTTAAAAAGCAGACATTGCACAGAAAAAAGTGATATGATCACCAACCATTATATCATTCCAGGGTACTTCCTTTTCTAATTCGATGGTGGGTTTCAAAATATTATTGCCAATGAGAAGGCTTCTCATGACCCATATTCACAACAGTGGTCATTTGAAACATTTCCTCAGTGGAAAAGCAAACAGAGAACCCAGGCTCCTACAGTGGATGCAGCAGCAACCCCTGCACCCATTGTGTTTCTTCAAGGGTCTAGAAGTAGTGAACGTGGATGAGGGAACAGAAGTCACAGTGCTAGGTGGCACGCCAAGCAAACATAAAATGCAAAGGGCCATGAACAAAGAACCAGTTTGGGCACTGTTTTGACATGGTTTGTTGGACCACTTATGAATATGTACATTTCCATGTAACCACTTGGCGAAAATCTTCCCCCCATCAGGAAATACATGGCCCCTAATACATATTCTGACTTCAGCCATATCAGCTCATTTTGTCTTTCTCACCTGCTGCACTACAACGTTCATCTTTCCAGCTGCTCGCTTAGCCAGTATCAGTGGGCCTAGTCCTGTTCGCAGCCCTTCAATAGATTCTTGTTGTGGTTCCAGTGCCTATGCAAAGAATCCTAGGTGATCAACTTGAAATAGAGGACCCATCTCTATACTGATTATAAGGTCCTAATCCGATAGGCTTCCTTGTACTTCTCCCCCATGTTCCCAATGCAATGGCACAGGATACACACACCATGTTTTGTTAGTCTCCAAGAAACCCATCCCTGAGCCTGACCATTTCACTATTCCTTTTGGCGTACTATTGCTTCTTTCAGTCCTAGTGATAAAACGGCACAGTTTAGCTGACAGGTTGCAGTGTCATGCTTTTACCCATGAAAACATTTGGTCTTTATCTAAAAGCTCACTGCAGATAGCAATAATGTGCAGCACCTTTTTAAGCAAGGAAATTAATGCACCCATCAATGCTACAATGTACGCAATTTAAGGAATATACAGTAGGACGAACTAGAGTAGCCAAAGTGCTTTCTAATTTTCTGCTGACATTTCACTTGCTGGAATAAGTTCTATGGATTGAAATAAGTGTGCACCTTTCTTGACTCCTAAAGTGGTCAGCACGGCTTGAAGATCTGTTTGTTTCCCGAACACCACATCATTTTGTGGAAATATCTTTGGCTGAACTTCACCTTTTGTGTGATGATGGTACTCTAGGTACACGCTAAATGGATACGTTTCCAAAGAGGCAGCTATGTCAGCTATTGGCTACTTTTGCTTGGTCGACGCATGGCAATTATGGATTGCTACAATGATTATCTCTAATTGTGGGTTGCTACAGTGATTACCCGTCCATAAGTCTGATATACATTATAGCATTTCTCCGGTGTTGTATGTATCCCAATTAGATGTGTCCCAATTATGTGCATTCACTACAGTAGTGTGATGTGTGCTGCATCCATGGTCACAGCAGAGGAGAATTGTTTTTACATATCAAGCATTTGCCAGCCATAAAATGGCATACCATGGAATATATTCTGGTCACCAGTCTCAACGTACTTTTTATCTACCCAACCAATGACAGATCTTTTTGAATCTGCTTGTTTTTCATAGTTGAAGATTCTATACGTTTATGTTAGGCAATGTCCAGAAAATACTTGTGAGAGATGTTTTAGTGGACAAAAGATTTGTAAGTTTGTTTAAAGAACTCTAGGAAAATCATAAACTTACCTTTGCAGTGGGGCTACCCCTGCACTGAAGGATTAAGTGCTTTTTTTTTGTCTAGAGGATTCAAATTCTGGTACGAAATCCTATCAAATTTGATTACATTGATTTGTTTTCTTTGGTGTTTTCAATGATTGTTTATTACAACTACTACTACTACTATTATTAATGTTATTACTATTACTACATGAGTAGCCTACGTGTCTCTATAAATTCTATACTTTTTACACAACTGCTAGGCTGGTCCTGCAGATTATTAGCCGCTCCCAAGCAAATATTAGAAAATGACATTGACAGTGTGACTTGGCCATTGTAGACAGAGTGGTAAATCTTTGCAATGACTCATGAAGATGCTTTATGTCTCCGGCATGAGGTAATGCAGGGTTCTCCAGTATATATATGCATGCCCCGGTTGACCTGGCAGTGGCTGCAGAAATATATACGACCGGCACTCTTAGGGCTGGCACGCACAGCCACGCTCAGATTGCTGCTGTAGCGCTGCTTGTCAGCTGTGTGCCGTGATTTGCAGGATGGTGGCTGGAGCAGGCAGCTGCGCATACATCAGGCGGTGCACAGCAAGGTCAGCTTGGGAGACACAGTCAGGAAAACACAAGAAAAAGAGATTTATGGGCCTCATGTATAACTGACTGTAAGAATTACTGTCGGTGTTGTCCATCACAACACATCTGCTGCTCCCTTTCAATTTCTGGCTGCTTAAAGACACAGATGTTTGAATCTATTGATATCAAGCTCAAAGCTCAACTCCAAGCATAAAAACGTATTTTCAAATACATTCCTCAATAGCCACAAAGGATACACATCCAGTTTGTGTGCACCAAATGCCTTTGCAAGCCCGGTTATTTATTAAAAGTAAAAGTAGCACTGACATCATCACTGTGTTGTACATAGCCTGTCCACTGAAGGGAGGGACCCATGCAGCCCCCTTCCCCACTACAGACTGCCTGCAGAAAACTGGGGTGGATACAAGACCAGTCACCCTTCACAAGGAGAGAGACCAGAAGTGACTGGTCTTTATTACAGGAAGCCAGAGTTTCATACTGGAATACTGCACAGATCTAGAGGAAATACACAAAGTACACCAAGATTTAAGGATGAATACCCATGCCTCTTTAGACAACATTTGGTTATCTCAAAGTTCAGCTTTAAAGCCCAATTGCAGCCCTTGTCCGTTCCCAGGTGTACACAGTCCTCCCTCTGAAGCCTTCCTCAAAAACACATTTTGATTATTTCTAGAATACTTACCTTTTTTTAGATGTGTTCAAGCCAATTACATGAGGCACAGGGTCTTCTTCCTTCTAGTTTCTTGTCTAGAGAGGGGCAGTCTTCAATGACGCAGGGAACTTCATTAAAATAATGATGTCACTGCTGCTGCATCATGAAGGTCCCTTTTCCCCTCAAGGGTGCAAGTCCATAACACCCTGCACTCACAGGAATGGAGTTAAATGATGCTGGACATCTTTCCACCTTGAAGAAGGACCTGGACTGGACCATGGAACGGTGAGCCATCAGGGGATCCCGCCAGAGAGGAGGTGAATATTGCAGCCAGAGCTGCACTTGTTACATTTAGAACAGCTAGGCAAAGAGTTAAAAAATGGAATTGGGCTTTAAGAAAAAACATCAGACATTTTAAACATTTAAAACCTGACTCGGGGTCTGACAATCTCGCAAATCTACTTGTTTACATGCTGAAATTAGTATGCTCAGATATGGGCTCTACAGGTTTCATAGACCCCAGCACTGAGGTTGTGTCTCTACTACCTCTCCTCCTGACCATTTACAAAAGGAAGTCTGGGGCTATGTGTTTCATGAATGGTCTGGAGGAGAGGGAGGCAGAGATGCAACCATAGCGCTGGGGTCTATAAGGCCTGCAGCAGTTACATGCAAGCAACCCGGGAGTACAACAGGAGCCCTGTACTAATGCCAGCATGTAAATGAGCAGATTTGCTGAATGTAGAAGAAAGCCTGCATGATGTATGATTTTTTTTTAGTCAAAGGAACTGCTTTAACCCTGGTACGGTGATTGTGCCAGGAGTTGGACTTTAAAATGCCCTTCTAAGAGCAGACACCGCAAGATGCTTGCTCCTACTTTAACTAGCTGCAAAAAATCCCTCTGTGTGTCTTATATTACATGCAATCACACGCAAGGAAAAAGTAGTTTTACTTTGTTACTAGGGGTCATTCCATTGTTCAGTGAGACTGCTCGCATTGACCACTCATGCACTCTTTTCTAAAATGGTTGAAAATACATGCAATGACATCAGCTGCAGCCCTGCATACTGATGGGAGATGTAGAATCCCTAGAGACACTCTGGACCTATTATCGTAAGATCTGAAAGACCTTTGCTTGTTTCCCCATCAACCAGCTATATTCCATTATTCAAATACGGGTTTGAGAATGAAAGAAACAGGCTACACTATCTCCATGAGCTTTGAAATAGGGTGTTTGCCAGGTGATTTTTGACATGTGTCCCTCCAACTAACAGATCCAAAAGTGTGCACTGAGTTATCATTTGCACATGGCTTTGTGCTGACTTGAATGCTGAATACAATGTTCAAACAGCCATACAGTTGCATTTTATTAAAATCAGCAGAGGTGCCCATGTGGAAAGGGTATGCCTAATGACCGATCCTTGATATTTATTGGTCATAACATTTGCATAAAACCCTGTCAACGCACTTCATTGCGCTGCAATGGCTACTTCTTCAGGGAGGAACACTGGGTAAAAACCCTTACATTGCACCTTATACCGAAATCTGTTGACTATACAGTGTAGGATCACCCCAACGAGCATTGAGTGCTACCCACTCTGCGTGGAGCCAGCAATATTCTCCAAAAGCTCTCTACTCATGTTGCTTTACATAGTTACATAGTTACATAGTATTTTAAGTTGAACAAAGACACAGGTCCATCAAGTCCATATCTACTGTATATGGGTTTCCAGCAACCCTACAGATGGGAGGGCACTGTCCTCAATCTTCCTGATCTTTAAAAACCCTACACTTCAAGGGTATCTCCCATGGCATTTTATTCCTCTTTTTTTCCTTATTTCCTCTCCTTTTTTGGGGTAAATTTCATGTAATATACAGTTGCATTGTTCCTCCCAGCAGGACCCATCTGCTAGGATAGCAGATGTATTTCATGAGTCTGCTTTTGCACGCAGTGCTCATGGAGACTTGGCCAAAGACCAGTGAGGCCAATAGGACTTTAGAAAAGTTTAATCCAAGCTGTCTGTACCGTCTTTTCACTATTTGCCTGATTACTCTCAGGTGGCAGCTTTAGGTTAACCTCCATAAATACAATATGCAAAGAAAGCAAAAAAAAACAGCGCCTTCTTCTCATGTAATATCGTTTTAATAATAATGAGATAAGACAAAGAGCAGCAAACTACTCAAATATGTAAAGAGGATCATAGCGTATAGATATCCAACAATGGATAGCCTGGATCATCAAGAAAACCAATCTAATGATGATAGACCACCACAGGATGTCAAAAGTCTGAAGCAGCTGATGCATTTTGGCGGCAATCCCCCTTTCTCAGAGCTGACCTTACCATAAACACAGTATTGTACAAAAATGGTTAAACTGGGTGGCATCTTTCTCATGTCGGAAGGAACTTTAGCTCTCAGGTGCCCCATAGAAGAACAATATGTTAAAAGCTGTCTTTCAGATTTGGCTAATCTCTGCACCAAAAATGTACATTTGCATAATACTAAAATGTTAACTTAAGAACCAAAAAGTTAATTATCTTTTCAATTTATTTACAGATATCAACATGGCTGGAGAACCAAAGCCGCACAGACCCAAAGGTTTGAAGAGAGCCACAGCTGCACTATACAGGTGAAATGTTATTTCAACTATTGTTATAGAAAATGCAATAACAGTTCTCGGAAAAAAAGGTATTCACCAAGTACCTCCCGACAATCACAATGCCCTGATGTAGCTCTATAGCACTAACATAACAGAGGTCAACAAAGGAAGATACTTACTACCAGATTATTCTGTAATTGGCTCGTACAGCATAGATCCCTGTTGTGTCCTGAGCTCTGTTATTGTGGAAAGGTGGGAGCTGAGAGCAAAAGCAACATCACCCGGGAGCAGTTAGTGACCTCTAGCCAAAACAGCATGAGCACCATTCCCAACAATGAAAGGAGTAAGATTTACAGTTTCTCATTTACATAAACTGAAGAAAGGAATGTAATTATCTATAGCAACCATAAAGATCCCTGGGCTCATTTAAAGGATGAAACCCAACTGGTTGCTACAGGTAGCTGCTCCACATTTGCCTTATTGTCCTTTGCACCTTTTCTAAATTACAGCTGAATTTAATTAAAACACTTTTAATAATATTCACTTATAATTGTTTAACCACTTCGCGTCCAGAGCAATTTCTGTTTTGTGCACACCCATGTTAAAATCGGACATTTTGGCTGGAAAACCACTTAAAACCAGAACAATTATACATTTTCTGAAAGCAGAAGCCTATCTTATTGGTGTTGCTGGCAGGGCCTTTAATGAGGCGGACTGAGGCTGTTGTGGCATCTCTGTGGGTCAAGTGGGCATGAGTGGCATGACTTCTCTGCTGCACAATGTTTGCAGTGTGCCTGCTGCCCCCTTTCCGGCCAGAGCATCCCAGGTTGATAAGACCCGGGCTGGAGATGTGCAAGGGCCATACATATCTCCCTGCCCAACTCTTAGCAACCTGGGACACTCTGATCAGCATCCTGCCCAGCTCCTGGCAAACAGTGACCTCACTGGTTGCCAGGAGCTGGGAGGGACATCGTCTAGAGTGTTCCAGGTTGCTATGAGCCAGAGCCTGCAGAGGGTGGTGCGCACCACCACACACCCCCACTCTAGCAAAAAGGCTAGGGACACCACTGGTGGCTGGCCAATTAGGATGTGAAAGAGTTGGTAAAGGTGATCTGACTACCTTCTACATTCCAGAAGATCTCCACTGTCTCCTTGGTTTTTAGTGTTAAATTGCATGATTGTGGATTGAAGCACCACACTCTGTTTAGTAGTAGAGATACATCTTTATTCAATATAGAGTTGAGCGAACAGTATAGAAATACCCAACGCATTTAGGGGCTTATACCCACTTCATCAGGACTTACTAAGGAAGAACATGTATCAGGACTGTAGTAGCTTGAAATTGGATACAGTTCTGTCCAGTGTGTAAGAATGCAACTGAATTGGCAGTAAGCTCTATGCATTCTCACACACTGGACAGAACCGTATGATGAAGGGTGTATTTGTATGAGCCCCCAAAATGCCCTGGCTCTTTCTGTATACTGTCAACCCTGATGTATCTGGACTATTAAACGTAATGCGGTGCTTCAGCCTATTGGTCATATGGAGGAAAGCAATGGCAAACAGACTGTTGAAATTACACTTTGCAGGGGAACTTACACGTAGCTTAGTGAAAGTGGTGAAAATACCAAACAGTACCCAGTTACATATATATAAACAATAATGATCTGCGCCAGAACAAATAATAAAGTAGAAAAAAAAACTACTAGGCACTATAAACAAAATGAACAATAAATATATAAAAAATCATGTGCCGAGCTAACGTCATTCCTCCAGTCAAGCCGGAAGGACTGGATGGTTTTCACTCTCGCTTTGCCTCTGTTCATTCCCTCATTGGGACTTTCCGTCTTGCCGTTTTTACATGATTTATATGTGAGTACCTTTTATTTAATAAAAATTCTCCTTGGCTGGATGGTATGCGCTATGTGCTTTCGTTTGTCTATTTCTGAGTTGGTTTCATCTACGTGACCCTGCATCAATTGGAACTGGAGTTATCGCTGTAAGGGTATCCCTCCCCGTAAAGAAGGGAACAGCATTTGAGACTTATTTACGGGTCATTATCCCAGGTGAGCACCAATCTGCATATCGATACTCACCAGGTGGGGATCGGATCATTCTTCCGGTTGTGGTCCCAATTTTTTACGCCACTTAGCTCCCAGGCAATTTGTTCGCCAAGCCCTGTTCACGAATTAATATTTGACTGATGATCACCTTTCAGCTTCTATATGTCACTCTTTTTTGATGATTCTATATATTTTCCATTAGGACTTTACTTTTATAATTTGGCTATTGGATCATCACATGGACTTGTTTGCTTTTTGTTTAGCACGTGTTACATGATTTTTTGGCTGCACAGAGCCTGGCATGCAACTTTGTAGTTTTCATACAACTGGTCACGATTGATACGTTATTTCATTTATATTTAGCTTGGTACATGATTCTTTATATAGTACCCAGTTTCATGCAAGGAAAAAAAAAAACAGTAGTTTTGCTTGCACTTGATTGGATGATGGCAGTCAGCAGAGCTTCACCCCATTCACTAAGCTAAGGGAAAATTCCCTTGCAACGTCAACAGCCTATTTGCCTTTAGTAAATCAACCCGACTGAGTCACCAGGGGTGACAGTTGACTAGTAGGCAGCTTTAAAATGGCATGTAAGCGGACGTGTAGGCAGATATGTACCAAGTGTCCCCTGACTGCCATTCAGGGGGAAAGCAACCAAATCATTACAATTTTATGCACTGGATGAAGGATCGTTATCTAAATTATATACAGCTGCTGCACTAATATGAACAAATGTCGCCAATATCTATAACAGAACATATTACAGTGCAGCACTCAAAATTCTAAAGTGCAAACATCTAAAAGTTCTTTATATAGTTAATCATTAATTACATTGAATTATAAGCCGTGTATAAGTTGGTGAAACAGACAGGTCCTCCTTAAAGCCCAACTAAGCTTTCAGTTTAATTCCGCTAAATACATTCCAGGAGCATCAAAACTAAAGGCCACAGTTCATTTTCTTTAGAAAGCAGCCACAGCCTGGCTAGAAGAGCCTGTCCCCTACCAGCATGCTGTAGAGGAGGACCCCTGCTCTCTGTGTGTAAGCAGTGGTTTCTCTGGAGAGGTCAGACATGCCCCCTGCTGAATCAGAGCTAGAGTTCAGTAGGGAGCATGACCTTTGCTGATTGGAGAGCTATAGGTCTGAGGGCTTGTTCATACCATGTCCATTGAGCTGCTTCTTTTCTGCACACCGCCACACATGTATGCTATGAACAGGGCACATAGAAAGCAATTTTGTGCCCCATCCATATGCTGTGGTGTGCAGAAAAATGTAGCTCAACGGATATAGTGTGAACAAGCCCTCAGACCTATAGCTCCTCAATCACCAAAGGTCATGCGGCCTATATATATGTATAATATATACTGTATATATATATATATATAAGTATTTGGATGCCTGCCTTTGCGCAAACATGAACTTTAATGGCATGTTGGAACAGGAAGGGGTCATCCCCAAACTGTTCCCACAAAGTTGGGAGCATGAAATTGTCCAAAATGTCTTGGTATGCTGATGCCTTAAGAGTTCCCTTCACTGGAACTAAGGGGCCAAGCCCAACCCCTGAAAAACAACCCCACACCAATGCAGTCCGGCAAGTACCATTCTTCTGGCAAGCGCCAAACCCAAACACGTCCATCGGATTGCCAGACAGATTGCCAACACGTCTCCACTTCTCTAGAGTCCAATGGCGGCATGCTTTACACCACTGCATCCGACGCTTTGCATTGCACTTGGTGATGTAAGGCTTGAATGCAGCTGCTCGGCCATGGAAACCCATTCCATGAAGCTCTCTACGCACTGTTGTTGTGCCAATCTAAAGGCCGCGTGAAGTTTGGAGGTGTGTAGCTATTGACTCTGCAGACAGTTGACGACTTCTGCGCACTGTGAACTTGAGCATGAGCTGACCACGCTCTGTCTGCCTCATAGGACTTGTAGTTCCACAGCAGCTGGAGACTGGAGTGCCACAGTTGCCCACCCCTGTTCTATATTTACTAGTCTCCTCTATGGACCTCTCTTTAAATTTTCCACCATTTACAAGGATAGGGAACGGTTCTCTATATGGCGTTCATTGTAAGAGCGGGTATCTGGATGATGCTCTCCGTTTTACTTTGAACCCATTAATTAAGACTTGGCATTCCAGCAGCGATGAATTGAAAGCGTGTCTTGTGGGTGGGCGCTGCTGGGAAGCACTGACACATAACATTGTGCTGAATGTCACCGACCAGGCTGGAATCTTCCATATTTGCACAAAGTCTCCCCTTTGGCTGCAAAAGGGTTATCATGCTATAATTATCTTTTAAAACCAATTAGTGTGGCTGAAAAGTATAAAAGAAATCACTAGCGGTTTTGCAGTCATTTCAGAGGCAATTAAAATAATTATTGGATTTCTCATATTAAGGATTTATCAGGGCCCTTGTACAAAAAAATAAAAGAAAAAAAATCCAAAACCCAATCCTATTAAGTTGTAAAATCGTGCTGCTTTGAGTGTAAATTACAGATGACTTCAAAAGAGGATTGGTTAAACAGCATCATTACCATCGGAGGAGAGCGAGGCACGGCTAGCGGTGTGAAGGCCAGGGATCAAATAGGGCCCTGCGAATGGAAGAATGGCGGAAATCATTTAATATGCGGCTCGTATTGACATAGGATAGCAACGCGGTGTAATATCTACCCATGAGATTCACCGCTCATCACTATCCAGCATCGCTAAAGACAATTTACTCAAAGGGCAAAGCTGGAATAAAAATGCTTATGTGGATCAACAATGTACTGACCCATCCGAAATGACAGGAGCAATAGTAAGATGAAAGCAAATAAAATATGTCTACTAAATTTTAAGGGGCTTTCCACTTCATTGTGTTTTATTATACCTATACC